TCACAGAAATTTTTCGCGATTTTTGTTTTCAAATTGGACAAATCGTTCTCTTTTTGGATTGTTTTTTTGATTTTTTTTCTTTGTTATTTTTGTCACTCCTTTATTTCTTTTTCTTTCTTCTCTTTTTTTTCACTCGATTTATTTAATGGCTATGATCGAATCTGATGAGGATTGTCTACGTATCATGACGTCGCATGAATCGGATCTTGCGTATTTCAGGAAGATCAGGAATAAAATAGATAAACTAACATTTTTTTAACTCATATACAAATAATCCGACAAAATCTCCTATCAATGAAAATAGTTTCAATTTTTTTTCCGATTTCGAATTGTTTTTTTTTAGAATTGATGAAAGAAAGACTTCTAAAGAAGAAAAAAAATATTTTTGGATTTTGATTTTTTTTTTTTTTGTAAATTTCAAAAGAAAGAAAATATTTTTTTGGATTTTGATTTTTTTTTTTTTTGTAAATTTCAAAAGAAAGAAAATATTTTTTTGGATTTTGATTTTTTTTTTTGAATTTTGAGAAAAAGACATTTCTTTTTTAAAAAAGAAGAAAATATTTTTTGGAATTTTTGGATTTGACGTCGCAACGAAAAACTTCTAAAGAAGGAGTTAAAGAAAAATATCTTTTTTGATTTTTGAAATTTGGGGGCCGGAACCGATGAGGTTTGCCTACGTATCTCACATCCGGTGAGAATCAAACCCGCATAGTTCGGCCGGTTTTGACACAACAGGGAAAACATGATTTGTTTTGACTCATTTTGAAATGACTTTTCTTTTTCTCTTTGTATTTTTCAAAATTTCGGTAGAGTTTCTAGATTTTTCAAATAACCTGATGAATTTTCTCTCTTACTTCTCCCTTTTGCCTTTTCTCAATTTTCTGTATTTATTCTAACAACCGGTCAACATGCAAATCAGATCAAACAAAATGCACAAATAGCACGTAGAATGCATCATGATGGTATTTTATTTTTGGGTACACCTGTCCTAGACGGATCCAACCCATGTGTTGAGTCCCCAAAGTCAAATGCACGTGATGCAAACAAACGTTCCTACTAAGGATCCGGCATGAGGCTATGTTATTTTAGGTTTAAAATCCTGGGGGGGTATTTTAGACCTGGCTTACCCAAGCGAACAGCTCGAGCCGAGGTGGAGGCAACGTACCGGGAGCACGAAAGTCTACCCCACAAAAGATATATGTGTTATGGATAGTTGTGGGTTAAAGAGTTTTTCTAATTAAAGTGACAAACTTGAATAGGGATTATTTTATTTACAGAGTCGCCACTTGGAATAGATTTTTTGGGTGTTCCAAGTCACCTTTTATTTGAATCCCTAGTCAAAGGAAGGTTTGACTCTATTATTATTGGTCTGCGAAAATAAAGTTCGGGTAAAGAATTTTGTTGACCGGGAAGAAGGTGTAAGGCATTTCCCGAGTCCCGTGGTTCTAGCACGGTCGCTTTATTGACTACATTTGGCTTATATTATTTTTGGATAACCTATGTTTTATTAGTTCTCATGTTTTACCTATGTCCGCTTTTATTGCTTGATTAGATTTATAAAAATTATCTTGAAATAAGTCACGCGTACGTGTACTCATTTTTGTTTGGCGTCAAGAATCATGCCACGCGTACGTGTACACAATCAATAACACATTTATCATTATTCGAAGTTGATTGGTCAAGTCATGTGAACGCGCACTTGTATTATTTTCCTAAACTAATTTGAAATTATTGTAAGACCAAGAGTTTATGGATAGAAAATTATTTGGAAGTCGGAAAATATATTAGTTATTTAAAGTATTGAAAAGTCATCCACACTTAGAAATATTTACAACTTACTACTCTATCTTTGAAATTATGAGACATTTATCCATTATGGAAGAATGAGCTAATTATTAGTCTAGTGACAAAATTATTGGACCTGACAGATTTATACTCAATCCAACCCATGTCTAATTCTTTCTTTCCTATTAAATATGGTAACTCATTTCTGGTTCACTTACTTGAACTCCAACGCATGGCCCATTAATATGGCAAGATCTTCATTCTTAATTCTAAATAGCAAATCTCATTAAGATGAAATCCTATTCAAATAATCTGTTGACAAATCGCTTGAAACATGTAAAAAGAAATTTCAACATGATAATGTGTATAAATAAAACAACACAAAAAATTATCACATGAACCTCTATAAGAATATCACACAAAACAATAAAATAATTAACAAAGGGAGGATAAGCAATGAACCTTTAAGCAAAAAATTTCCTTCAGAACTTGATTAATGCAAAAACAATTCTGAGCCGAGCAAATACACCAAAACCAAGGGCAAATCGGCAGATGAGAAGAAAATCTAGCGACGAACCTTCTAAAATTCGAGTGCGGACTTAAATTCGAATGTACCTCGTGAGGCTGCTGGTTTTTGGCGTGAGAGAGGTGACTATTAATGAAGCTTCACAAGGTGTTTTTAGGCTTGAATTTGAGGCATTTTTATTTCTTAAACAGGGTGATGAATTGCTTGAATTTTCGAAAGAAATAATAAAACGAGTAGAAATTCACTTAGCGCAGAAGAAGAATTTTGTTTTCTCTCAATTCTCTCCTCTATTTTTTCATTTCTTCTCCCCTTTTCTCCTCACATTTCTCTTCTATTTATAGGGGGAAAATTCTAAATTTTTTCAGATTTATTTTTCTATTATTTTATTATTTTTTAATTAAAAAGAATTCTCACTTCCTATTTTTCTTCTTTTTAAAAAAAATAATAATTTCCCACTTTCCTTTACTTTTATTTTTAAATTTTTTACTTTTTTTTACTTTACTTTGTTTTATTTTCCACTTATTTTACTTTTGTTTTTTAATTTCCACTTATTTTACTTTTTCTTTTTTTAATTTCCACTTTGTTTTATATTTTAAAAAATAATTTCAGCTACCTTTACTTTTATTTTTTTAATTTCATATTTCTTTTACTTTTCATTTTTTTAAAAATTTGCACATTCTTTTACTTTTATCTTTTTAATTTTCCACTTTCTTTTACTTTTTTATAAAAATAATTTCCACCTACTTTTACTTTTCATTTTTTATTCCATACTTTAAATTTTTTTATTATTTTATTCCCATCCGAAAATTTAAAAAATATTTGTTTTTTCGTTTTTTAATTTATTTTATTTTAAAATAAAGATAAAAAATAAAAATAATACTAATAGTAATAATTTGACCTCTTAAATTATTTTTAATTCTTACCCTATATTTAAAAAAATATAACAAAGCTAAAAATATATATATTAAATTTCTAAAAATATTTATATAGTAAAATGTGGTAAAAATTAAAATATAGTGAAAAATTAGGTGCGCACACATATTGTTCTAGTAGAGTATTAATTAGGCAAAATACATAAATTACATCTAAACTATATGCCAAATCTCTTTTACACATTGTTTGTAGGCTGAAATTATATTACACACCCAACCTCTTAAAAGTGTGTCTAATACACACCTTTTTTTAACCCCGACCAAAACACCAAGATAGAAGCGCATCTACCAGATAATACTGTCTAAATACTGTTTAATGCCACGTGTCAACAAATCCCTCGTCTTCCCCACCCTCCCTCTGTCTTTCTATCTTGTTTCTTCGCCGGCCAACCTCCACCTCCAGCCCTTCTCTTCTTTTTTCATCCTTTTTTTTCAAACTTTTATTTGTTCAAAACTCTCTATCCCTTCATCATCTTCCTCATCAATACCACCACACGCCATTTTCCTCCATTGAAGCACTTTTTTTTATTTCTATTTTTATTTAAGTGTAACTATTTTTAAGATTTGAAGTACTCTCGCCTTACAATTAGAATTATTTAGTTGGGATTTATGCTGTTGATTTGGAACTCAAATGGGTTAAGAAAATTGGGCAAAAATTTACAAGCTTGGAGTATAGTAATTAAAATTATGAGTGGTGTCACACCTCCTTTTGACGGGAAAATGAGTTTTTCCACTTTAAGTGACATTATTAAAATGGGATTAATTTATTTTAATATTTAGAATCGTCATTTGGAATAATTATTATGGTTTCCCGCGTCACCGATTTATTTTAAAATCCCAAATCAAAAAAAAACTGAATCTGTTTAAAGTTTGCAAAACACAGAAGACCGGGTAAGAAATTATGTTAACCCAGGAGAATGTATTAGGCATTTCCGAATTATGCAATTTTAGCACAGTCGCTTTACAATCTACACTCTGCTTATTAATTTGATTATTACGTATTTTAGAATCTATGTGCATTTTAACCTTTTACCGCATTTACATTACTCGATTATGATGTTATAGAATTATCTTGAAACGAACCACATGTGTGTGAATACATTTTATTTAGTGCAATAAAAATCATGTCATACGTACGTATACACAATTAATAACACTTTATTATTAGTAAGGTTGTTTTGCCAAAGTCGCGTGAACATGTATCTTGATTTATTTTGGGATCATAATTATGCCACGCGAACGTGTACATAATCATGCCAGTAGATTAGAACGCGCATAAAGCATCCTACGAATATTCATAAGTTAATTAATTTCCTAAAAAGAACTTATTTGAGATTAGTGTGAGGTATGATTATGAAAAGCATTGTGGATTTAAAAGGGATATTTTTAATTGTTTAACTTTGAGAGAAGACTAATGTGTAGATCAACACTCTAATTCTATGGGATGAAAAGGGGCAATCACCCACTGTTAATTCAAGTTTATACTCACGAAATGTGGTTGATTGAATGACAAGGGTGTTGGAGTTAATAATACCACTCAGGCTTAATGATTTAGACTCAATTTGAGCCTTTATCACAATAAAATGGGCCTGACCAAATTCCAAGTGGAACTCTTATGGGTTTGGGCCTGGAGGCTACTGAAATGGGCTAGCTTAAAGTCAGGCTCGCAACTAGCCTTAAACAAAGTTGTTTTCTCAGAACTGGGCTCCAAGCGACGCCCAAACGTCAAAAGAAAAGGGTAATTCAGCATATGCTCATTTGCGTAAGCTTCATCCGATCTAACATTACTTACACAATCATAGGTAGGAATAAATCAGTTACAAAAATTTCAACCAATTTGAGAAAACTAAAGTAACAATTGTTAACCCACCGATTAATTACAAAACCGATGAACTAAATTGTTACGAACTCTCTGATTCAATCCTTAGACTCATGAAAATGGCTTCCAAGTTCTAAACTAAATGAATTAAAATAGTATACAAATGACCTTCTCGATGTTTCTTCTTCAGATTTCCAGATGCAAATGCAAAATAATCAGAACAGGAAGATATGATATGAACACTTCCTTCTAGCTTCATTTAAACCCGAAAACATCAACTCCAATTATGTTTCACCACTGTGTTTCAGTATGTTGTATATTCTATACTACAACAGAAATAACATTAGCATGCTTTGATAGGATAAATGATTATCAGTAGTCACTAAATAAATTTGTGAGTAGTTTCAATCTAAATTTCAGTTAAATAAACAAAACAAACAGAGAACTGATGTTAACATAGGAGTGTAGATAAACAGATTTAGCAAACAAACAAAGTCGTGAAGAAAATCGAACACATATTGCAACAATAATTCAGATCTCATAACAAACCAACAGAAACTCAAAACAACTAACACATGGCCCATTGACACTAATCAATGCAAATTTACACGTTCATAACTTCAGAGATTGATAGGGAGAGAGATTCAAATAAATTAAATCATTAAACATGTTAGATCTATAGAATTAGGCATTAAACATCTTTAATTTCACTCATGATTTCAATTTAAAGCTACAGAGGTGTTTGAACATACCTACACAGCAACAAACAAGTCTTAAAATAGCCAAATAAAGGCTGAGAACAACTACAACTGAAGCTCAGCTACTAGTTGACAGAGAACAGCAGCAAACAACCAGTAATCAAAGCTAGATCAACTTCGAAACCCAAAAATGCAAGAGAGAATACAACAAATCGAAACAGCTACAACTTATGAACTGTTTTGAGTGAAAGCTAACCTAGAACTCTATTGTTTTTTCATGCTTTTCTTCAGAACTTTGGTTTTCTTTTCAGATCTCCATGTTTTTGAATTCCAGATGTTGTTGTGTGAGTGCAGTGAATGAAGATGAATGTGTGAGAATGAATAGAGATGAGTGAGAGTCTGTTGGGTATTCTGTGGATATGAGAGTGAATTTGTATTTTGAAATCTCAGATTGTGAAAAGATGAGTGTGTCTTGCGTGAGAGTGAGAGTGAGAATGAATGGTTTTAATAGGTGTGAAGAGTGTCCTGTTATATAGAAATGCAGAGAATCTTTTTCAGTTATTTTTTTTCTTTTACATCCCTCTAAATTATGTTATTTACCTACTAAAATTACCTATTGACCTCTAAGTGAAACACTAGAAGGTGTTTTAGCAAGATATGGCTAGTCAACAGCGATTTGACCGGGTCTTGATGACTTCGAAATACCCTAATACTTATATCATTGAATAGATTTTTTTCATATCTATCTAATGATATATGCATAGAGGTATGCCGATACTAAGGTCAAAGTAATCAGAGAAGGGCCGAATGGATAGGTATTTCTATGGGGTAATGGCGGGGCGGAAATGGTAGTACGATCTTATTATGATGATGTAAAGGAGGAAAAGTGGAGAAGAAACATGGTGGTTTCACGTCTTTTGGCTGACTCCGGACGGTGGAGGCGATTTCCGGTCGGTGGTCAACGGTGGTCAACGTCGGCTTTGGGGTGGCACGGGCGACGAAGCGATTACCGGTGGGGTGATTGGTGGCGGCTAATGATATAGAGGAAGGAGAGTGTATTAGGTTAGAAATGAGGTGTTTTAGGACAATTTTATGTAACTAAAGGGACCAGTTTTCTGTCGTCAGATGAGATCTGATGGATGATGGAGATTAATTGGGGCTGAAACGGTGTCGTTTTGGTGGTTGTAAGGTCTGGACTGGGTATTGGACTGGGTTTGGGGCAGAGCTGGGTGGTAATTTGAGAAGGAAACTGGGCCGTTTAATTTGTTGGCCCAGTTCAAAAATAGAAAACAAACTGCCCCGTTCTTTCCTTCTCATCTTTCAATTTTAAATTTTCAACTTTAACCACTTTTAATTAATCCACCTAAAATCACAACTAATTTGCAAAATTATCCCTATTTATCTATTTTGATCTAGCCATTAACAAATCAATTAACTATTTGACACATTAAAGAAAGAAACTAATTGATTAAACCTAAAATGCCAATATGCAACATGTCTAATGTATTTTTGTGACTTTTCAATAAAATGTAATAAACTCTTACGATGCAATCTAAAAATCAAACATGAAGGATAAAATATTTTTGGTGATTTTTCTATAACTTCAAAATATTCCTAGTGACGCAAAAAATGCAAATGGTCTATTAATGCACAAGAAATGCAATCAAATAAATAAACAAAAATGCTAAACTCTATAAGATCAATTTTGTGATTTTTTGGGAGTAATTTTCGAGCGGGGTAAAAATTACTTGCTCACAGCTGTCCCTCTTTGCACGAAAATATGAAGAATTTTCGGACAAAGATAAAGTGAGCAAACATGAACAGTTTTTGCCCATTTGATACTCCGTGGGAAGCATTTTGAAAAAGTTTGACCGAACCTTGCTTTCGAGATTGCCTACATATCCTTGGCTATAAAGGAATCAGGTAAGTGTAGCTCTGTAAAGTTTGGTAGTTGGGACTACCGAAAGGCTATGATCTCACGGTTGTTGCTACTGTTGTTGCTTGCTAAACTCTTTATTACACCAAAAATAAAAATCAAAAGAAACTAAACAAGCATATCAGCTATGAGTTACAAGATTTCTATTTATAAATCTTCTCAAACCCGATCTTGAGTCTTGACTGGTTCTTCATACAGACTCTGATTTAAACCTTAATGTTTGCTAGCTGCAGGTGCTAGTTCATTCTTCTATGGCTTCTTCTGATAAAAACGGGGCATACAATGCTCGTGACTTCAATCATGTCTTGAGCAATCCACATCTTTTCATCCACTTCTGCATTTTGGATTACTTCTTTTTCTTTTCTTTTCATTAGTTTTGGATTGAGACTTCTTCTTTTGGCCATCTCGGACCCTGTGCCTCGAGGTAAAGCCCGCTCAGACACCAAAACAAACAAACAAACAAACAAAATTTTTCTGCCCTATTTTTCATTAGGAAAATTTCATGAGTTATTGTTGCCAAAATTCTAAACTGCTTCATTATTGAAAGCAATAAAAGGCCAAGAATGGTGTACCCTAGGAAAACATGATGATTTATTTTTGAATGGTGTACCCTTCTTGTCAAAATGACTCCTCAACTAAGGATTGATGTACCTTATGTTGGGAAAATACAACGAGGGAATGGTATACCCTATATTAGTAATGATATCAGGGAGTGATGTATCCTGCACTTAAGATTAAATCAGCTAGGGAGTGGTGTACCCTATGTTAGAAAATACAACTAGGGATTGGTGTACCCTATACTGTAAAAGACTAGAGAGTGGTATACCCTATATTTGTAATGATATCAAGGAGTGGTGTACCCTACATTTGTCACGACCCCAATTTTCCTCTGTAGGACGACGTGATGGAACCTAGTCTTTACGACTAGGTAAGCCTAACAAATAACAATAACGTGGCAGAAATAAGTATCAAAATACTAAGATAAAGATGGATAACTGATATAACCTTCCGAAACAAAACAGAATCTCATCATGACACTCCCCAAAATCGGTAGAACTGAGTCATAAGCTCTATAGAATAAATTATAATAGCTAATACATCATTGTCAGAAAGGAATACAACATGAAGTAAAATAGGGTAGGCGACTCCGAGGCCTGCAGATATGGAGCAGGTATACCTTGAAGTCTCTAAGCAGCAACTCAAATCAACTCTAGCGTCCGGCACCAGCAGACATACCTGGATCTGCACAAAAATTATGCAGAAGCATAGTATGAGTACACCACAACGGTACCCAGTAAGTATCAAGCCTAACATCGGTAGAGTAGTGACGAGGCCAGGTCAAGACACCTATTAAGATATAAATAAGCAGTATGGAAATGTAATAAGGATAAATAATGGAAAGCGAAGAAATAACCGATATAAAACAAGATAATAACATGAATTAATACCGAAAATTATACATGAAAGTAACATAAAAGAAGCAGCTAAAGAAAACATAAAAGAAGCAGCTAAAGAAAGAGCTAAAATGATCATGTACGGGCAACAACTATTAAACAAGGAAGAACAAAATAACAGAAATGTTCCCACCAAAACTGCTTGCAAAAAGTGATAAACAACAAGAATCACAACGAGGTATCGCCTCGTGTACAATAAGAATCACCACCGAGGTACCGCCTCGTATAAATCAAGAATCACAACCGAGGTACCGCCTCGTATACATATTTCACAATCTCAATCACAATCTTTCCTTATACCGCCGCGTGAGCCTTATATTTGAAGTAGTTGTTTTTAAAAACAGTTTTTCCGAAATAGCTACACGCACTTTAGCCCACCTTATGACGCCGCGTGTCTTCACGTAGTTTCCCTACAAGCAACACGCATATAAGTCCCACCTTATACCGTCACATGCACATTAACCCCAAGCCTTATACCGCTGCATGCACGTCAATATCACATCACAATAACAACTCCCATCACAAGTGCTCATATATCACAACTTGCCCGCAATCAACAATATTAATGTCTCTACAACAATAGCACATGACTCGACCACAACATGTACAAGAATAGCAACAACAACAACAACAACAACAACAACAACAACAACAACAATGAATTTAATATGTTCAACAAGAATTTAACAATTTCGCCTCAACGTGATAATGGCTTCACAACTTCAACACTAATAACTCAACAATGAGAAATGTATAACCATGATGTTAAATAAGAATAACTCACAATGTAATAGATAACGTATAACAATGACATCAAATAATGGAAATCAAAAAGGGAAGGGATAACATGAAAAATAACTCCAAATAATCGAAATCAACAATGAGAGAAATAACATGAACGATACCCTCAAATAATGATAATCAACAATGAGAGAGATAACTTGAACAATAACTTCAAATAATGATAGTCAACAATGAAAGAGATAACATGAACAATAACTTCAAATAATGATAATCAACAATGAAAGAGATAACACGTAACAATTAAAGAGGCAACAAGTTCAACTAAAACATGAGAGCAATTTATCAACTAGAATATAGAACAAGTGATAACGAAATCGTTTAACGCATGTAAGGATGGACTAACACAAGTAATAATAGATTGAATATGAGAATTTAGAACATGATATGATGATTAAATTAAGACATGGAAGGAGTATAAGTAGCCTAAACCGGTCAAATACCACGTACAAACTGTGTACCCACTCGTCACCTTGCGTACACGGATTTCACATAACACAAATGAATCAAACAATACCAATCCTAAGGGGTAGTTCCTCCACACAAGGTTAGGCAAGACACTTACCTCAACTAGGCCAATTCAACACTTGAAATTAGCTTTTCCTTTACAATGTTCCTCTACACGGCTCGAATCTAGCCAAAATCGACTTAATATCATCAAACAATGCTAGGAAATTCAATTACAATAGATAAAGCTAAGATCTTTAAACCTTTCCTAAAAAGTCAACAAAAGTCAACCCGGGGCTTGCCCGGTCATCCAATGGTAGATTTCGACTACCCATGACCCCACGAATTCATATATGTGATTAGTTTCAAAATCTCAATCCAAATCGACTCTCAAAACTCAATTTCTTATTTTTCAAAACTCAATTTCTTAAAATATAAGATATGTTGATGGAATATGATTAGAAATAGATTAGAATCACTTACCCATTTGTAGATGAAAATCGCCTCCTACCGAGTCTAGGGTTCAAAAATAAGAAAATAAGAGATAAATCCCGACTTTCATCCCTTTTGATTAGTTGTAGATGTCGCAATTGCGACATGGGTTCGCATTTGCGAAGCCTGTTTCCATCGCAAATGCGGCTCTTTTTTTGCAAAATACGAACTACCTTCTACATGAAGTTTTTTTTCACAATTGCGAGCATGGCATCGCAATTGCGATACCTGAGGTCCCTATACTATGCTCGCAAATGCGACCATGGTGTTCGCAATTGCGACAACAGCGGCATAGACACTAGATTTTTGCCAACTTTGGTCCAAAACACTCGGAACATGTCCGAAACTCATCTGAGCCCTCGGGGCACCAAACCAAACATCCACACAAGCCTAAAAAATATCATACAAACTTGCTCGCGCGATCAAAACATAAAAATAACATCTAAAATTACGAATTGAACTCTAAAACGCATGGATTTCAAAGTAAAGTTTAAGAATTGCTAAAATTACAACTAGACGTCTGAATCCTATCAAATCAACTCCAAACGATACCAAATTTTGTAGACAAGTTCTAAATACCATGACGGACCTATTCCAAGTCCCAAAATCAAATTTCGAGCTCGATAGCTAAACGTCAACCTACGGTCAAACTTTTTAACTTTAAATTGCCAAATTTCGGCAAATCAATATAAATCAACCTGCGGACTTCCAAAATCAATTTCGGGCATACGCCCAAGTCTAAAATCACGATACAAAATTATCAAAGCTATAAAAACACAGTTCCGGGGGTTATTTTCACAAAAGTAAAAGCTTGGTCAATATTTTTTTAATTTAAACTTCTAAGTCAAGAATCAAGAAAAGCTTGCTGGAACGAAACTAACCAACCCTGTAAGTCATAAAACTATAAGCACACATGTGTGAAGTATAAAAAGGGGATAACGGGGT